AGCACATTCACATGAATAAACAAATTATTTAACAGCACATGAACTCCAACCCAGTTTGTGTAATCCCACCCAATGTTATTTATTTAGACAATACATGTATTTTCTACTGAGAAAACACAAGACACAAATTGCTAAACTCTATCAGCAGGGGGCGGCATTGGCTGCGACAAAATGTCTTTGGGCACTTAACTGAACCCCAATTAATCTCCATGGCATTGACAACACTTGTTTGTGATTGTTTAACTCTCCTGGTGAGAACTTTGTTTCTGTGTTGGTGAATGCTGACACCCAAGCAAGCACTATATACATGTATGTTAGATAATGTCATGCAGGGTTGCCCTATGCAGTACCTTCTTTGAGCTGATCTAGGAGCTTTTCCATGAACTCAACGCGCGTTTGGAAACCTGCCAGCTGGTGCTCCATCACCTCTTGCTCGATGGAGACTTTAATCTGAAGAGCCTGATGCTGCTCCTGCTGCCGCTGTTTCTCAGCTACAAACATCTCTCTCTCATTGCAACGCTTTCAGTCAAATACATAAAGACAGTGTACAACCGCAATTATATTTATTTTCTTCTTTTCTCCTTCTTAACAGTCATACACAGAGAGAAACCTACCTGAGAGATCTGCCTTTGAAGGGTCTCTGCTTCCTTTTGCTGATAGTTGACAAATTGCATTAAAGTGTAGGTCTTTTCCTCCACTATTGGAAATAAATCACAACATATTTCAATTGCTGTTAAAGAGGCACAATTTCCATTGGCCCTCTAATTGTTCTAATAAGGACTTACTTTGTAGGAAGTTCCTGACAAGTTTGTCCAGGTCACTTTCTTCTGTCACTTCGAGGATCTTTTTGATAGCATCCTCAAAATCCTCTGGACCCAATTCCTTAGAATCCAATTGCTTGTGCTTTACTGTAGGGACAAATATGAAACTTAGGTGAACCATATATTAAAATGTCCTTGCTTTAACTATAATACCCAATGGGGAAATATTTTACTAAAGTGTCGTTATAAACTGAATTAAGTAATTATATGTTGTGTGTATTGGGTTACAGATACATATATTGACTTACTAAAGGCATGTTATATTTAAAATGTAAAACATTGATTCAAAATGGTTTGATAATAAAAGAAAATCCATGAACATGAGCCAAAGAAGCTCAGCAGAAGCCTTGAATTACAGAAATGGAAATATGTGTCATTAAATACAAAACACTAATTGGATGTTAATACAAAGTTACTATAGAAAAATGTTCTTTTTGTTCAGACATTTGCGGGTCATGCAGTAGCATATTTTGAACACAGGGTGTCATTAATTCATTTTATTAGTAGTTAATTAGTAATATTTAGAATGTGTTTTAAGACTGAAAAATATCAGATTAGTGTGCAATATCAGAGCAATATTGACGAGGCATTTTTGTTTGCAAAACTGTGAATATTATATACGATACAGATTACAATCATCATTCAACTTTAAGTTCAAAAAGACAAAGGAAAATTATATTGATCCCTTCAAATGCATGACACAGTTTGGTCTCAGGTTAGAAAGGTGGCAAAACATATTTTTGTTCAAAGAATAAGATATAAATTACCCTTGTCCCAGCTGCGTGCAAAATCCTTTATGTCAAGGAAAATCTCAAAGTTGCAGTTTCGAGACATTTCTTTTTCCAGGTTGCTGGTCTGTTTGATGAACTGAGCCACATCCTTAGCATTCTGCCCCATCAGCATCCTCTGTCTTTCCTGAAACTTCACACTACGTGTAGCCATAAATATACAACACATTGGAGAGTTATACATTGTGGATGAACTTTATCTTGAATCTAAGATGTTAGCAATTGAAAAATATTATAGTAAACTGTATCACTTTATAATGCATTTCTTTTTCATCTATTAGATATCAAGACATATAAGAACCTTTAAGGCTCAGCTGAATAAAGTGGTACTGCTTTGTAAGTACAATAGTCAAAACAAATGCCTTTTCTTTCCTCTACCCGATGAGAACAAATATGAATATGCACTCTAACCTAACACAGTGTGTCATAATAAAGGCAAATCTATTTAAAATATATAAACTACATTTAGAGTGCTGCTAAATTGTTTACCTGGCATTAAAGCTTTCAGTGCATTTAGCCATCAGGCTACCAATATCCTTGCGAAGTGCATGCAGCTCCTGAATGACATAAAACAGAGATAGTTGTCGACATAATATTAAGACCCCATCACTGGCCCTCCCACATTAAACCATCTCAACAATTAACAGACTTCTGCAGCTATATAAAACTGAAAAAAGCTAATTTAGGAACTGACTAATGTTAAGTGAATGTACCTTTCCCAGGCGAGATTGAACATGTAGAAACTGTTTCTTCTCCACCTGCATTTTCTTCAGCTCATCCCTCAACTCTCCATTCCTGTTCATCGTTGTATTGAAGCGTTTTCCAGCCTAGAATAGAAATATACCTTAATTGTGTTTGTCAGTAACAGGTGTCAAGGTGGAATAACAAAACAAAAAAATAGGACATATTGGTGAAACAATGTATAGTCAACTGAATTTGCTGTGTAACACTAACCCTGTGCAATTTGCTTTCCATGAAAAAAGTGTTTTTCAGTAAGTATTTCCCAGGTTGTATACTGAACTGTGTAGTTCCCCCACCAGTCTTCTGTTCCACCAACTTCCTCTCCCATTGTATGATCTTAAAACATTTCAAAATAAGTCAGGTGAATTGTGGTAAGAATATCAAGAGAATTTCACTTGTTGGCATTCTCTTAGTCTACTGAAAAACACACTTCACCTGTTCTTTCAAAGATGCCACTTTGCCTTTCTCTGCTTGCCACTCCTGCTCTATTTTGTCCCCACAGACCAACATGTCAGTGAGGTCATGAACAACACTAGCATTAGTCCAATGGGTAAACCTACTCTGAGAAAGCCTAAGATTGCGTAAATGCTCTTCACGATCCTCCAGTAGCCTCTGGATCTCTCGGCTGATCACACAGACACAAACAAATATTTATACACAGTGGTTGGAAAAACATGTGAAACAAGTTACACCTCCGGTTAACTTAAACAAAGAACTGATGCCTTAAACATCTACATACGTATCTTTTTTTTAATTATAAACTGCTGTTTTCACTTGTCACTCTTACTATTTAGGATCTACAGGGTAGGCTTTCCTGGCAAGGTTGACTTAACAACATTTCTTCCTTTGCACATGCCTTCCCCTTTAATTTATCTGGAGACACAGTATGATTAACCATTTTTTAGACTAAAAGAACACCACAATTAAAGATGATGCTAGTAAGCATGTGGCATCATATCTTTGTCAAATATATTGGCACAAATTGGTAAATAAAAAGGACACCACTTACTTGTCTCTGCAGATAAGGAACTGGGTTTTCTCAGTATATGCTTTCTTTGTTCCTTCTGCTTTGCGATACTGCTGCTGCAGTTTGTTCAGGTCTGTTTCAGCTGAAATATAAATATGATTTATTTAGCTATGTATTTTTCATAATATACAATACATTAGGGTATTCGAACGGAGGTCGTTTTTTATTTTACAGTGATTGGTGTGAGACATACCTGGCTAATCTAGCAAGCTGTTATTTATTATGTGTAACATAGCAAGCAAGTAGCATAACGTGATGTAGGCTATCATAAAGCTTCTAAGTGTTTTATTGATTACGACAGGAAATTGACAGTAAATAGTTACACAGTTACAATATGTGTATATAACGAAGATCATCACTTACAATAATCCACCAGGGATAGACTCCTGCCGGCAGATGATCGACGACTCATGTTGAACTACGGTTATAAGTCTGAAAAATAAAATAACAACATTTAAGATTTACCAGACTGCTAACTTCTTAAACGAGTTAGCATAACACTCATCTAGTTCACCTGGGTAGTTTATTAGTAAGTGAGCCTAACAAACACTTAACTAAATAAACACAATGACTTGTGTTACTAGTGTTAAAATGGTAAACATTACAATACTAGCATTAGCTAACGAACTAGCATTAACTGAATTAGCGTTAGCAGAATTTGGTGCATTGGCTTTACCCTTGATTCTGCAGTTAGATAAGTTAAATAACTAAAGATAGTTAATGTTAAAACAAGTTCAAACTATGTGATGGGGAGAAAATATAACGAGTCGTTACATTTACCGTCTAAGTAATTTACCGGTAAGTAAATGAGCAACGTTTCGTTATGTGCAGCTCAAATGTACAACTGTTAACTGTTATTTTTTAATTCTAAGCTAGCTAATGCCACACTGCTGTGATGTGCTTAGACGTTAGCGGTGACTTTGCTAAATAACATCAGACAGAAAATAAAATACATGTAGGCCTAATTAATTGTTAATTAAACGTAACACCAGTTTGCCAGTTTAACACAAATAAGCACAGGCTGAGTTAGTATTTAAAATGAGCAATGCATCAAGTCATTGGTTTAAATGGCGCTTATGACTTAGCCTACTGCTAAAGTTGTTTTCAGATAGGCAATTTAGTTTTTTATCTGTTTACTGAATACATTTCAGTTTCACTTCAAAGATGCTCTGAATTGATTATATCATACAGTATTGGAAAACGGGACGTCCTTGCTGTAAATTAACTGTTGGCAGACTTGGCACCCATTTGATATTGTATTGTAGGTCTGAACTGGTTGAAGCAGAGGATGGCTGCAGGTATCTTTTTCAGAAGCAACTGCCGCTCATTGTTTTTTCAATACTTTTTTAGTTTGTATTAAAAATGAAGTTCAATACAGTTTAAAAACTGTTTTAAATACAAGAATGCATCACACTCAGGTAAAATAGCTGCACACTTTGATATATCACATTCCATAATGGAGGGAGGTGTCCTTCTAAATTACCCTCTGAACATAACAGCAAGCCATTCTTGGACCTTGCAACACATTCAGGATGATGACTAATTTTGGAGTATGTCCCAGAGTCCATACTCCCCAATGGATCACGTTGTGTCGATGGTTTGACTGACAGTTTAGTTATAAGACTGCTGTGGCAAGAAGGGTGTGTAAAGAAAACTGAAGAAATGACGAAATGATTGAATCACAGAAAAACTTTGACCTGCTGCCAGGATGGGATTACAGCATTGGTGTGCATAGGCACTCCTTCAAAGCTTCTTGTTCCATTTGATGTCATTTCCCTGGTAATTATTTGAGCAATTCTTAAACACACCACAAGAATGTAGTTTATGATAGGATGAAACCTAAATGAATAGTGGTAGCTTCTGTCTATATTTTTAAAATCTTTTTCAGAGTTCTAACGATCAACTAGGAGGAGTATCCTGTCTTTAAGAGGTTTTGTCCTCAAAAGTACAGATCAAACACACACACAATATTCCAGATTGGCGACGTGCTCTTGAAGACAAGTTTGCAAACTGAGTCAGCAGCAATATTTTTGAATGACTCAACCAGTCCACCGCAGAGCCCTTTCGTTTCTCAGAGCCCTGCCCTCAACCCTCCCTCACACACAGGCACGCACTGCCTTCATATACGTGCCGCCTTACCTCACCACAGCATCACTTCCTCTAATGTTATTAGCATACAGATGCTAAAAACCAATAGCAATGCAGGAACATTTCCCAAGGAGTCTCTCAGTGGTCAATATTATCGGAAAGGATCTGTAAAGATTGATTTTGTATGATTTAATACATTGATTAAGTTGTTCTCACTGTATCTTTTACGCTTGAGGCTTTTTATTTTTCTGATTAAGCTATAGACTGATGACATGTTGTGGCAAGTTTTATGGTTAGTTTTCTGCAGAGTTGATAATCCTATGATCCTTAGAGTAATTTACTGCATGTATCAGTCATGTTGCCAGGAAGAGACTCCTACGTCTGCTTTGACATTTCTCGTGCTCTACTTTCTTTCAAATATGCTGGAGGGCTATTATATGTCACACTGCATTATTATCCCGCACAAGACAGGCATCTGTGAACAAGGAAGTGGAAGAGGAAAGCAAAGAGGGGAGCAGTAAAACGTAAAACATGTTGCAGTCTGGCTCTGCCGGTGACTCAACAGGAAATGATGGAGCAGGAGTAAGTAAGGTGAGAGAAGGATGGTGGGCGTGAGAGGAGAGATTGAAAGGAAAAAAAGCAGATTAACTTTGTAATGCCCAAGGACTGGGCTATTTCCAAGAAAAGGCAGACTACAGGCATCATTTCATAGTTTTCTAAGGAAATCTGTAAACCATGACTCTCCACAATTGAGTCATGACCCGCAGAAACACACACACACACTGTACATAATCAGCTGTTGAACAGCAAGATTACCAAACATACTATAACAAAATAGTTTCCATTGCTCTGCTGAAAGGTGACCCTGTATGTTATGTGGTGATTCAAAAAGACTTTGACCTCTGAACAAAATGTGAACACTGTGAAGACAAGCAAATATTGACAGTGTCATCCTGTGACATCTGTTTAGCAAAAATTATAATAACACACCCATATTTGGTAAGTGCAAACAAATGATATTTTTCACTTCGAGAGTTGCTTCTCAGAAGCGAAAAATCCCTAACCCTGATAATGTTTCCTTGTTTTGAAGTAAAGAGCCTTTTTTTCTCATGCTTTCAGTCACTTATTTCAATTGAAACTTTTAATGAATCGGAGCTTAACTTCACAGGGCGGCGGAAGGCCTCCTGCTGGGCCTGCAGACCCTCTCTCCACACTGGAATCAGGGGAAGGGAAGCTGCCTGCGCCTGCAGTGCTGCATCCTGGGTAAAGAATTGCTCTTTTCATGCTCAGCTCTCTGCCGTTTATTGTAGCTGTCACCATGAAATCAGATGTCACGGGTTTAAATCACTTTAATCCTTGCCACTTCCTCCCACTGACTCTCTTTTGTTTTTCTCAGTTGGTACCCTGGGAAAAAAAAGTATTTTGCTTTCTTGTCGTTTATAGGGATAGCACCACTACACATAAAACTGTGCTTGTGTATTTATGTGTGTGTTTTTCAACTCTCATCCCCTAATTAGCTGTAGCTACATTTGCAGGAAACATCAGTGGTATATACTGTTATGTGTGTCATTCATATCAATCAATTTAGCATAAGAAAAAAAGATTTCACAGGAAGTATTTTCTTTTGGCCCTCAGTGCAGTTCCTGATCCACCCAACAATCAAAGGCAGCACAGACATCTCTCTTCAGCCCGTCCTCCTCTTCCTCCCGGTGGTTCTTTGATAACTGAGCTGTCTCCTCACGGGATGAGGTCAAAGGTCGTGGTACGAAGCCCACTCAGACATTTGAGGAGCCTAATTTCTCCCTGACGCCTCCAACATGTCAGACCAAACCGCAGATCCATTGAATTTAAAAAGATTAAATGAAGGGTGTGTTTTTCAAATCACACACAACTCTGCAGACAGTAGCGATAAATGGCAGTGATTCAGAACTTAATCATACCTTTTGTAAACCTATTTATCCCTTATTTCCAAAAATGATTCATAAAAAAATACGTTGAGACCATACCCTCTGTATTGCAGACTCCTTTGAAATAAAAACATCAAACATGACCGTTCCGTGTCAGGCTGCAGGAAGTGGTGGGTGGTAACAAAGACGTGCAATTAAATCGTTTTCATAAGAATTTCTCTTTGTTTCAAGAACTGAAACGGATGACATCCTATTATATGTGAGCCTATTACAGATTTTACACCCACTACTATAAAACTCTATTTATTAGACACAATTTCCAACGTCTTGCACAAGGCTATAACTGAGTGTGAACTAATCATCCATTTAAAAATGTTTATCTAATGACCATAGCCGTGATACAAATATTTTTCTTGTTACAACCTCTAACATTGAATCTCAGGAAGGACGATTAAGAGGAATGTGAAACTCAAACATGAGACAGGTCGACCATGACTTTGAAAACAGCAGCAGGATTATCTGTCTGCAGTCTAACGGGGCTCTAATTACTATTACATGTTTGTACACAGCTGGTTCCTCCATAAGAGAATTCCCTGTGTCACCATGTCAGCACATCAACCTACACAAATGTATTTACCATAGGACACGTATGTTAACACCTACTTAGCTTATTTCCTTTGTCCAGATAGAGACATTGCTAGATGGGTGGTGGGCAGACATTTATCTTGCTTGATATTTCTCGTTTCAGGGGTTATCTGCTTTTCAGCATGTTGAAAGAGATGAATCTTCCTTGATATTTCAGAAGTTATTATCGCTGTTTGTTATCAACTTTTTCTCACTATTGATTCCTGATTTAATCTTGATGTTTCTTGTCTCTCAGCTCATAAATAAATCAAACAGCAGGCCTTGATTCTGGTCCGACTTTGATCATCAATCTTTCATTTTGTAGCAGCATGAGGGAGTTCCTTAAGAGCAATCCATCAAATCTTTGAAAAAGGAAGTGGGTGGGGGCTACAGATGTGGGAGGTGGGCTTCTGACTGCCCTGACAGCTGTGAGGGACGGAGGCCTCTCAGAGCAGGAAATGACTTGACCTCCCCTGTGGGAGACTGGCTCACCCCGACAACAACCCCCACAGCTTTGAGCATCCTGGGTTGTCCACCAGCGCCCACAGAGGGTTGCGGAGCCACAGCAGAGCAGAAAGGCTGCTGGTCCAGGTGGCAAAACGTTGAAATTTGGAAAGCGATTTTTCACCCCTACACAAGAAAACAGAACATATGAAAGGGACTGAGAGTATGTGAATTGCACTATTCTCCAAGGACATGTCTAACATTTGTTGAGTGCAGCCGTTTCACCTCTTTATGCCACACTGAAGTCCAACGTGATACCAGTCACTTTGCACGTTGCACAACAGGAAGTTGATCAAGCAGCTTATTTGCTAAAAACTATGAGTCTTCCTTTAAGCAAACAAGTTACGCTGGTGGAAGAGGAACAGGCGATGATTGCAGCAATAGAGGCACATCAATGTGGTGTATTTGTTTTGTGGGTTCGTGATTTACAGAAAGTATATAAGGCACTCCTCAATATATGACCCTATCAGGATTTTATTAGAACATTTAAACGGTGGAATTTTTTAGGGCAGAAGGAAGGGAGGTCATAGGGTCATTGGGTATCTCTCTTATACTTTTATGAGCTGGTTATTTTATTCAGCGTTTTACAATATGTAATTTGATATTTGCCTGATGATTTATTTGGATTGTTACCACGGTAAAAAGATAATGTGGCAATGACTTGCACTCACTTCCCTGTTATTTTCTAATAAATGGCCTTCTGTATTGTCCTTCTGCCTCTGCGTGGGTGAAGACAAACACAGACAGTGAACTCCTCTGTGACATCCAGGCTTCAAAACAAGTCACGATCCTCCATAACCGGGCTGCCAATTTTGTGCTTGTTCTTCTCTACCAGTCAGATATTGTACTCATGCCAAGAGCCACCCACACACTGTCCGACTCCCACACAGGTCACACCAAAATTGTTTACTGCCTGATGAAGGGCAATTTCCCATACAGTCATCACACAAGGAAGATAACATGATTATTATTCTAATTGTGGACGTCTCTAGGCAATGTGGTTCTTTGACCTGAGGTTACTTTGTGTAGCTCATTGTTTGGTAAATTGGAAATCTGTGTGTCTGATTTATGAACATTAACGTACATTATCTATGAATCAATTAAAGGTCCCATGACATGGCCATTTCTACTGATCATAATTCCATTGAGGTCTACTAGAATAGATTTACATTGTTCAATGTTCCAAAATCACATTGGTTTCTCATACAGCATCTCTGTATAGTATGTGTATTCACTCTCTGTCCTAAACGGCTTGTTGGAGCTCCTGCCCCCCCCCCCCTCCCCCTCCCTATGAGCCCACTCTGTTCTGATGAGTCCACCACCGTTACAGCGGAACATCAGTGTGTATGTGTTCCAATGGCGTTTGTTAGCAACCAGAAACTGATACCAGTAATGACAAAAAGAAGAGAATGCTGCGTGGGGTCTGGGTGCAGTGTTGGCGGGACGTTGCGGGGCTCGCTGCTCCGCCCTTTGAGGCGGACAGTGTGAGCTGGATTACTGGTGTCGTTTCCTGGTTGCTGCGTGGGGTCTGCAAGACAGCGAGACACTGCAGAACAGCCAGGCTGTGAGTGTGTGTGCGGAGATCTGCGGAGCCACGGCTGAGAAAAGATAAGGCTGAGTGAGTGTGTGTGAGCAGGATTGGTCCATTTGGACCAATCCGCGGAGCCGTTACGTCACTATGACCGTTATGTCACTATGACCGTTATGTCACTATGACCAGGAAGAAAAAAATGGAAAAAGAAAAATCTCCAACGAAGCGTTTTGGTGCAGCATAGACAGGTCTTTTTTGTGTTAGTTTTACTCGCTACAGGGTGTACTTTCAGGGTTTGTGACTTTGCAAACCGTTTACATGCATACAAATCTACATTCACACAAGGGGACGGGTAATAACTGGAAAAGCATGTCATGGGACCTTTAAGTTCTCAAAAAATTATTTTTGCTGATCCTTGATATCCAGTTTTTCTAGGACACTGAATGAGGACACACATGTTAATAGCGGCAGCTTCAGGGAGTTTCTGTGTGAGTATGGGTTTATTTAACCAATGTTTTACTGAAAATCCACCTCTTCGTTTACACTGGTGGAGGATGTATTCAGATCTCTTAATTTCATCACTGGTAAAAAATATAGATATAAGTCAAAGTAAGGTAGTAAAATAAAAGAAAGGTAAGTTTCGAAAGCAACATTTTGCTGGTTGACCTGTTAATGGATTGTTGTTGCTAATGCTAATGCTACTGTAAGCAGCATTTTATTGATGCGCCAGATTAAAAAATGTTTTACTTTCTGAGTTGTTTTTATATGTATTTATATGTGTATCCGCTTTATGAAAAAATATTCTAAATGTAATCATTATTATTATTGTTTCTATTTGTGTATTTTCATTATTAGGATATGACCGTTTTTAATTGTATTTGGACCGGCTGCTTTTTAAACTTGCTGCTTTTTTAAACTTGCTGCTTTATTTATTTTCTATATATATACATTCATCTGTAAGACGCATTAGACTGCTTATTTGGAGGTCTGGAAGAAAACAATACTTATTTTAAAAAAAGAGTTGATTTGAACCATGTAGATTCTGTAGTTTATCAAGAAAAATACATATAGTCCGACACACTACATGTTGTTTTGTTTTTTATTTTCAATATGTAAAGAAACAAGTTGTCTTTACATAGTGGATTAAATACAAATGATTTAAAAACAATATTTCCCCATAAATAAAAGTGAAGTCAAATTCATGTAAAGTACAAAAAACACAGAACATTTGGTTATTTTCCACCCCAGCAGGTTTTTACGCCAATAAATACTTGTCCTAATGGTGTTACGTTTTTCCTAATGGTTTTCAGGCTTGGGTTTTTTTCCTTTAAGAGGGAGTTGGGTGGAGTTACAGTAGGCTGAAGTGTTGGGTGCATTTATAAGGAGATGTGGAAATGCGCGTCACGCTGACAAAAACGAGTTGCAGCTCCCAGTGTTGTTGTGAGAGGAGGGATGTTGCACATGGTTACTTTCTGACTGCCACAGAGACTACAGATTTATTTTCTCACTTCGGACAGGAACAAGGTCAAGGACACTTACGTGATGGACAAGTGGTCAGCGTTTTCATGGTAAGACTTCCTTTCCTTTAGCTATTAACATTACAAGTTATTTGATGAAAACGGGGCTTTAAATCCACTTTAACTCAGCGACCAGGGGCAGGGTTTCGTGTGAGCGGAGGAGCCTGTTTATTGAAAATATTTCTGATAACAATAAAGCTCTCGGTGTGGTATTCCTCCGGCGGAACTTAATTTAGCCTACGTTAAAGGTACAACGAACCGGGACGCGGTGGTTAGTCCAGAGATAGTGACGTTTGTTTCTTCTTCGTAGAAACCCCTATGGTTGAATAGTGTGTTGAATTCATTTATCTCGGTTATTTGTACATACTTTACCTTTACCCGCTGCTCAGTTTATGGATGTCCGCCCGTCCGCCGACTGAAGCCCCATCGAGGCGGGATGAGTGAGTCTGCCGGCCCGCCCCGGCCAGCCGCTAGGGGGCGCCGCAAACGGACATATAGTGGGGTGGCTGTGTGGAGTGTTGTCCAATTTAATGCAAAAAGAATAGCTTTGAAAAAGTGTAATATCTATCTATCTAAACTAGACTATCTAGTATCTAAACTACCCTACATTTTTAGTATACTTTAATCTTATAATTGTAAACCCACCTAACAATGCCGTTAGCGAAGTGAGTTGAGCAAGAATTGTATTCAATTTATTTGGACTTACTTATGTTACTAATTGTTGAACAGTATTGAACTTCAGTTTGTTATTGTTGCTTCACCAGATAGTTTGCCTTCGTTTTATATTCATGAATGGCTCTCTTAACCTACTTAAGTTCCTTTTATATCTTTATTTTTTTTATATCAGGTTACATCAGGTATCACAAATCAAAACTGGATATGAATGAATGAGGTAATGTTGTTTTGGTTGGATAATTAGCCTATAAAGCTTGTTGTTCCCCACTATTGCTGTTTTCTAACTTTCAGA